GAGGACACTCCAACCAACTGAGCAATCCGGCCAGTGCTGTAGTTTCCTTTAAATATTTATTTTTCCCCTTTATTTTTTGTGGGTACAGGTTTTCCTGGTTGAATTCATTGGATTCAGTCTTAGGAAATTGTGGGATATTATCTCCTGAGGTGTTTACATTCTAAAGACATGGTAAAATTTATAACGTAAAGGGAGAGAGGAAACCCCTTCTAGGAGTTTAAGGTAATTGCTGTTTCAAATTTCCTTCCTTTAGGTACAAAATAATTGTACTCCTAATGTCCTGAATTTTATATCTGCAAATGTCTGAAGGTACATGGTAAGGGGTCTGAGTGGATTTTGATTTTTGTTTTAATCTTTGTCCTTTTATTTTATTTCTCATTTTTAATTAAGGTATTATATGTGTACATACCTTACCAATCCCGCCCCCCTGCCTGCCACTCCCATACATACTTTCTCTCTCGAGATTTTTCATCCATTGGTTATGCTTATATGCATGCATACAAGTCCTTCGGTTGATCTCTTATCTGTCCTTTCATTTTATTAAGGGAGTCTTATGGCTAGCCGTTATATCAAGATGAGAGCTCTCTAAATTTCTTTTCTCAATTTCAAAGTTTCTCCAATTAATCTCAATAGTGATTTAAGTCAATAAGTCTTTTATCACCAAAGCACAAGATCTGGAAAATTTACTTCTAGAGTTAACTGAAGAATTATAATGGCCCTGTCTTGTTATTTTTATTTATTTATTTATTTTTAAACAGCAGTTCTGGAACACAGGAAATCATATATTTTACCCCCTTTGAATAGAACTGAGTTGTTTTTCTTTAATATATTTTTTATTGAGTTTTTATAGAGAGGAAGAGAGAGGGATAGAAAGCTAGAAACATCGATGAGAGAGAAGCATCGATCAGCTGCCTCCTGCACACCCGCCACCGGTGATGTGCCCGCAACCAAGGTACATGCCCTTGACCGAAATCGAACCCGGGACCTTTCAGTCCGGAGGCTGATGGTCTATCCACTGAGCAAAACCGGTTTCGGCTAGAACTGAGTTTTAGATTTTCTAAACTTATACGGCTGGCCACCAGATGCATATGCATCTTCTAGCTGGCAGAGAAAAGTAGACATATGAAAACAATGACCATCTCTGGGAGGAAAAGATCAGTAGAAACAAGAATACTAAAATTAAATTTTTACCAAAGTTCCTATATGTCCAAGGAACTAGTTCCACAAATATTTTCTCCTGCTAATCTAAATTTAGAAAGAGAAAATTTTAAAAATCATTTTCTTTTATTTAAATGAGACTCAAATAGGTTTTAGGAGGCTGACAAGGTAGGATTAAAAAAAGAAAAAGCTTACCTGCTTCTAGCTCTATTGTTAGACACCAAGGACCCCTTAGCTGCAGTTGTCTCAGGATAAACATCCAAGAGTGAGGTTCTCCTAGCTGGCCTGCCCAAGTCACTGGGCAGGCAGAGAATTCTTCCCCGTCCCAACCCTTCTTTATTTCTTATGGCTGGACTAGTAATTCAGTAATATTGACACAGAACAAGATTAGCAAGAGAAAAAAACAACATAATACCTGTGCACTAAAGAATCATAACACAATACTTAGATCATAAAATGAGTCCCAAAGAAATGATAGAAGCAGGCATCTTTTAATACTCTTTAGATAAAGAGACAATAAATTTGTGAGAAATTGACAGAACAAAGAAAATTAGTGCTCACTGGAGAGGAATCTAAGCAGGGTTTAGGTATTCATTAATGAGAAATTTAAACAAAGTAAATTAGAAATGAGGGAATAAGAGTTAATTATACAGACTTTTTAGCTCTGAGTTGTTTAACTCCAGCAATAGGTGCAGGAAGCATACCTTTCACCGGGGAGTTTTATTTCCTTCATTCAAGGATACAAGGGAGGGTCACCGGCTGTTGATCCCCTAATTTTAATTCAAAGTAATCAATATGCCACTGTGGGATATTTTGGGATATTTGAGCCAGTCTTGGGCCCCAACATATCCTTCTCTTCCTCTTTTATTAATGTATTTCTTTTCGGGAATGGAGTTGAATTTTCAGTATGGAAATGATGGTTTTTTTTCTTTGACCTGTTAAAATGATCAGTTATCATCACTACACATCCAGCTTTATATTTCTGGGGAAAAACTCTACTTGATTATGGGGTATTATTTTGTCAGATTTGATTTAACAATTTAAGATGTTTGTAACTACATTAATAGTAAGACTGATATATAGTTCTAATTTTTAGTACTGTGTCAGGTTTGATACCACCTTTATAGCAGGTCCATAGACTTATAAATTTTTCTTTTTTCCTCTCTCTGTAAAAATTTATATAGGGTAGAAATTACCTGTTCCTTGAAGACTTGAATAAATAGCCTGTGAAACTATCCAGTCCTTTGGAAATGGGAGGGGAGGATAGATCTTTGGCAATTAAAAAAATATGTTCTTATTAATTTTAGAAGGAGAGGGATAGAGAGATAGAAACATCAATGACAGAACTCCAATCAGTTGTCTCTTATGTACCTCCTACTGGGGATCAAGCCAGAAACCCAGTCATGTGCCCTGAATGGGAATCCAGCCAGTGACCTCTTGGTTCAGGGGTCCACCCCTATGTATTCCCTTCCCTATGGATGGCATACCATACAAACTGTTCTGTACATTGTTTTGTATATATTTAAAATATTTTTCTTCAAAAATTGTCTTAATTAAATTCCCTACTTCCTTTTTGAATGAATTTTGATTATTTTTCTAGGAAACTGCTTGTTTTGTCAATATTTTCCAGTTGTTAACATGCAGTTGTACATTATATTATCCTACAACTTAGAACTAGTAAAGTTCTCTATAAATATTGGCCTAAATGTTAATCCCAATTCCATCACTTACAATGTTTCTAAGTAATTCTGGGTAAATCACGCGAGTCGTGCTATACTGTAAACGTTCATAGCCTAACAGAAGGTAATAACTGTAAGTGTATTGAAAAAAACTGAGTTTTTCTGGCAATTCTGTGACATATATTTGCAACTGCAAACATAAAATAATTCATATTTTAGCAGCTCAGCGCTATGCTACCTTCTTCCTTCACAACCTTCCATCCAGAGTTCTTTCTTCATAGCATATTACCTCACAACCAAATTGTACCCTATTAGTTAAAGGAGGAAAAGTGGCATTTTGAGTCTGAAAAATGGCTATGTGACCTAAATACTGACTACCTCAACTATTATTTTATGGCCTGTTCTTTTCTTCACTCAGCATCAAGGCCATCTAGAAGAGTGGCAAAGAGGCCAAGGGATGAGGTTAAGTGGCAGAAGTTGGGGTTCTCGGTTAGGGAGAGATAACTAATTTTGGAGGTTGCTAAGGAAATGGAAGAGGTTATCAATGGCTCCAAGGAAGTGGGAAGGGACTTGATAATCCCATAAGTGGTGAAAATCAGGAGGGGGTGTGGGGGTTCAGGGCCAGGGTGCTGTGGTAGGGGTAGAATGGGTGTGTGGGAGGCTGAATATGAGACATTGTACATAATATTCTATTGTAATTTAAAAAGGTATTATAATTACTGGTCTAAACTTTAATAAACACTGTCATCAGTATTTGCACAAGTACTAAAAATTTCTTGGTTGGAAGGAGAATTATAATATTTGAACAAAACAAAACAAAACAAAACAAAACAATTCTGTTAGTTTAGGAACTTCATCCTAAACCAATTTCCAGAATCTTTCTCCATAGATTTACTAGTAGGGGGTTTCCCTGCATTGCCTATCCAAAAATATAAAGTACTTTATTTTACACCCATCTCCTACCCTGTGTTTTAAGAGCTGAAAACTGGTATTCACATCCCCAAAGGGCAGTACACCAAATGTACTGCCACAATTTAGCCTGGAATTCAGGTGAATTGGAATCATAAACATTAGAAAAACCTGTGATGAGGTTGGGACATGCAGGGTTTTAAAAAGTTATTCTTGCCGAAACCGGTTTGGCTCAGTGGTAGAGCATCGGTCTATGGCCTGAAAGGTCCAGGGTTCAATTCCGGTCAGGGGCATGTACCTTGGTTGCGGGCACATCCCCGGTAGGGGGTGTGCAAGAAGCAGCTGGTCGATGTTTCTCTCTCATCAATGTTTCTAGCTCTCTATCTCTCTCCCTTCTTCTCTGTAAACAAAACAAAACAAAACAAAACAAATCAATATAATATATTTAAAAAAGTTATTCTTACAACAATCATCCTCTTTTAGGCATCGAACGTATTAAGTACTTCCCCCAAATCGTTTAGCAACTTTAGAAGTTGTAGTGGGTTTAAATTTTGGGCCAATGTCTATAGAGAAACTCCCCCCTCTCCTCAAAGTGGGTGAGGTAGAAAAGTAATCTTGGAGGTCGGTGTGGAGCCAGTATACAAGTTCATAAAATTCGAGGATGTGGAAGGAGCCGGATGAGAAGTGCAGGGGATAGGCAGGGCAGGGACAACAGCCAGCCATAGGAGCAGCAGGTTAGAGAGGGCTTGGTCCCTTTGTTCAGGATTCAGGAACCGCCTTGTTTTTTTTTGGTGTGTGTGTTCAGGATTCAGGAAATGCCGTGTTTTTTTTTTTGTTGTTGTTGTTTTTTTGGTGTGTGTGTGTGTGTGTGTGTTGCAGCGCTGAGGGGACGGTGCTGTGTGTGTGTGGGGGTGGGTGCGGGCTGGGCGGGGCAGGCTTGTTCAGGGAGGCGCTGCGCTGAGGGGATGGCGCTGTGTGTGTGTGTGTGTGTGTGTGTGTGTGTGTGTGTGTGTGAGAGGGGATGGCGGTGTGTGTCTGTGTGTGTGTATGTGTGTGTGTGTGGGGGGATGGCGGTGTGTGTGTAGGGGGTGGGGGGCGGGACAGGCTTGTTCCGGGAGGCGCTGCGCTGAGGGGATGGCGCTGAGCCTCCTCCAGAGAGCGGAGGCCGATTCGTGGGCGGGGGAGGGAGCGCAGTCCAGGTCCCGAGACCCAGGGAGCTATCTGAGAATCGGGCTTGAGTGTGGAAGGGTGACCCCAAAGAAGCAAGCGAGGAGACGGGAACCTCTTCCCAACACCGGGTGCCAGGCCCTTTCGGTGACGCGATTGTCGCGCGACGACGCGCGGATGAGCTGCGGCTTCCACGTCTCAGGTTCCGCAAAGGCCTGTGGGAGCGACTCGGGAGCAGGAGGGCCAAGATGGCGGAGGCGGCCGAGTCTCCTGGAGACCCGCGTACCACATCGCCCAGGCCCCTGGTGAGCTGGGGACCTGCGACCGAAGGGACCGCGGGTGAGGCAGAGTGTCCCTCAATGAAGTCGGGTGACGGGCTCGCGGCCTGAGAGAGCCGGAGCCCCTTTCTCCCCGCAGGCCCTCCCGGTACCCATTGCCAGTCCCAACACTGCACCTGTTCTTGGGGCTCACCGCTTCGCCCCCTGCCCTCCTTGTTCTTTTTCCAAGTCTCCTCGTGAAACTCCCGTTCACTTCCCTTTCTCATACTCTCAAGGCTTGTCCTTGACACTTACATTGTGTTAAATGCGGAACTTTAGCTGATTTCTTAAGTAACTTTGCTTCTGCCTTCCCCAATTTTATCAAGACCTGCCGCTAGTCCGTGTTAGAGTAGCAGCATTCTGGGGTTAATGAGAGATTGCAGCGTAGTAACTTAATTATTTATTTGTTCAGTGACCCAAATAGTCTTGGTTTAATCCCTGCCCTCCCTGTCGAAGCTCCGTGCAGTCCCGGTCATGATGCTCTCTTGCTCCTGGGGATGTTTGAACAGTGGACAGTATTTTTATCACACATAAAAGCCCAAAGCCGGGACAGGTATTTAATAACACAGCTTTTGGAGTTAAACTTACTGGACTGGAATCACCCACTCTGCTGCTTGTGTGAATTTGGGTTAGTCATTTCATAGAGAGCATTTCTTCGTCTGTAAAATGGAAATTAAAATATGTACCTCAAATAATTTTTAGGAAAATGAAATTACATAATTTATGTAAAGTGTCTAATACCATCATTGCCACAAACCGAGGAGTGTAATTAACTCAACATTCTGCCCTTAGGTCTCTTATCCTCAACAGTGTTTAGTTACTCAGTAAATGGTACATCCCAGTACCTTTGTTTTAAATTGGCAGCATAGTAGAGGACTGCACTGGGAGTCAGGTGAAATTCATTCTAGTCCTGCTTACTAGCTCTATTTGTTCATCTCTTCATTCAACACGTATTTATTGAATATCTATTATGTTCCAGGCACTCTTAGACTGGGAATACAGCAATGAAAGAGAGTGACTAGGCCCAAGTTCTCATGGAACATTTGTGACCTTGAGGAAATCACTCTGAACTCATTTCCTCATTTGGAAAATGGGGATAGTAACTCATTGCACAATTAGAATACTAAATAAACTAATATACACATATTGCCTGGGGTGACATAGTTACAGGTGTCTAGCTGTTTTTAGTTCCTTTCTTTAATTTAAACTACTCTACAATTAATTGTGGTTCTGGTTACTCATTACTCAGTATCCAGTCAACTTGAACATATTAGGTCTAGAACATATTCAGTAATGTTTATTCAACTCATACAATGTACTGTGCTAGTTCTTTTGGTGCTTATATTCTAATTTGTAGGGATAATACAAATGTACAATATTAAAATAAGGCAGAAAATATTAACAAAATTTAAAAGAAGATGCTATCATGTCTAGTTGGAGTGATAAACCAAGCTACACCATGAACTTATATTTGAGTGGGCCTCAAAGGATGGATAAGATTTGAAATTCCAGGTGAGCATAATAGTTACCAGTGATTGAGTACCTGCTACTTGCCAGGATTGTGCTAAACATCCTCTGCATATTTTCTAAACTTCACAGCAACCATTTCAATTAGGTGATTTTTAAAACTGTGTTTTACTTGCAGATGAGATGGGACTAAGAGAGGTTTGATAATTTTCCTAGAGTCTCACCAGCAGTTAGTGGTCAGGCCTGAAATTTGAACCTAGGTGCTTCTGAAGCCCAGGTGATTCCAGTAGTACTACACAGACTCTTATTGCAAAGGTACAGAGATTGGAAAGAACTAATGTACTTCTAGAAAAACAGAAAGATCACTTTGGCTGAAGCACAGGCAAGTATTAGGAGGTAAGCCCTGCCTAAAAGATAAGGCTACTGAATTAGAGAGGCAGTATGGAACAGTGGTTAGGAATGTGAACTCTGGGGTCAAATTGCCTAGGTGTGATTCTAAGCTCAGTCATTTAACTAGCTGTGGGATATTGGGGAAGTTTCCAACCCCCTTCCATGCCTCAGTTTCCCATCTATAAAATGGAGATCCAGTAATACTTGGGTGATAGGGGTTTTAGGTGAATTAAACGAGTTAACACATGTAAAACGCATGCAATAAGTATTATTGACTACTAAGATGGGAGGTTTAATAAGCAGTGAGAAGACATTGGAAGCTTTTGAGGAAGAAACTGTTTAAAATCATGAATTTGACAACGTAATAAAGAGTTACCATGGGGAATTTCTGGAATCTAGGAGACTAGCAGAACTGTTGCAGAATCCTTGAGGGTTTTCAGTGCTTGGGAGGGCGTGTCTTAGATATATCAGTTTTGCAAACTTCAGTGTGCATAGCAATTATCTGGAGAATCATGTTAAATTGTGGATTCTGATTCAGTAGGTCCAGGATGAGGCCTGAGATTCTGTATTTCTAAAAGCTCCCAGGTGATGGTGCTGCTGATGGTCCTGCTCCCACTAACATTTTGAAAAGCAAGACAGTGAGCATATGGGGGGATAGGAGGAGGAGGAAGAGGAAAAGGAGGAAGAGGAGCCTAAAAGTTGATTAATTCACTTTTACTATTGTAGATGTACCTGTTAATAATACGGATTTTGTAATAAAAAAAAATAATTTCAAGAGACACATCAAAAGTGCTTTATTCAAAGTAATGTCCATCACTAGCTATACATTTTCCCCATCTTTCAGGTAATTTGTGGATACTGTTCCAATAGAACTTTTCTTGTTTTGAGCAAACCATTCAGAGACCCAATTTTCCACTTCTTCATACGTTTTGAAGTGCTCAGAAAGTGCATGTGCCATCAATCTGAACAAATGGTAATCTGAAGGAGCAAGGTCTGGTCAATTGGCAGGTGGGTTAATACTTCCCAGGCAAGACCTTTTAACGTGTCTTTCACTGGTTTTGAAGTGTATGATGGTGTGTCATCATGAAGCAAAATTACTTTGCCATGTCTTCTGGAATATTCTGGTCATTTCACGATCAAAGCATGGTTCAAATTGATTATTTGTTGTCGGTAGCCACCAGTATTAATGTTTTCACCTGGTTTTAGAAGCTCATAATGCACCATACCTTCCTGATCCCATCAAATGCAGAGCATTGTCTTCTTTCTGAACTGATTTGGCCTTGCAGTTGATGTTGATGTTGATTGTTGACCTGGAGCAACCCATAATTTTGTGCATTTGGGATTCTCAAAATAAATCCACTTTTCATCACCAGCCACAATTCGATGCAAAAAAGACTTTCATGCAGTTGAAGCAACATTTTACTGATGACTTTTTGGTTTTCTATTTGTCTTTCGTTTAGTTGCTGTGGCATCCATTTTCCTTCCTTTAAAATCTTTCCCATTGCTTGTATATGATTGGAAATTGTTTGCTAAGCAACGTTTATCTATGACACCATCTTGGTTTCTCCTGCATCTATTTTTGTTCATCAAATTAGGTTGAGCATTATATCCCACATATGAGTGAGATCATATGATATTTATCTTTTTCCAACTGGCTTATTTTGCTTAGCACAGTGCTCTACAGTTCCATCCATGCAGTTGCAAATGATAAAAATACCTTCTTCTTTTTTATAGCAGCATAGTATTCCATTGTGTAAATGTACCACAGTTTTCTAATCCACTCATCTGATGATTAGGCTGTTTCCAAATCTTAGCTATTGTAAATTGTGCTGCTATGAACATAGGGGTGCATATACATTTTCTGATGGGTGTTTCTGGTTTCTTGGGATATAGTCTTAGAAGTGGGATTACTGGGTCAAATGTGAGTTCCATTTTAAACTTTTTGAGGAAACTCCATACAGTCTTCCACAGTGGCTGCACCAGTCTGCATTCCCACCAGCAGTACATGATGGTTCCTTTTTCTGCACATCCTCTCCAGCCCTTGTCGTTTGTTGATTTGTTGATGATAGCCATTCTGACAGGTGTGAGATGGTACCTCATAGTTGTTTTGATTTGCATCTCTCGGATAATTAGTGACTTTGAAGATGTTTTCATATGTCTCTCAGCTTTCTGTATGTCTCTTTCGAAAAGTGTCTACTTTTATATTTTGCTACATTGCCAAATTCATTTATTAGGTCTAGTAGTTTTTTTGATGGAGTCTTTTAAGGGTTTTCTATGTATAGTATCATGCAGTTTTACTTCTTTTCCAATTTGGATGCCTTTTATTTCTTTTTCTTTTCTTTTTTTCTGATTGCTATGGCTAGCACTTCCAGTAATATATTGAACAGGAGTGGTGAAAGTGGGTTTCCTTGTTGTTTTCTCGTTCTTAGGGGAAAGGAGTTTAGTTTTTGCCCATTGAGTATGATGTTGGCTGTAGGTTTGTCTATAAGGCTTTTATTATGTTGAGGTATTATCCCTCTATTCCCACTTTGCTGATAGTTTTTATCAAGAAAGGGTGTTGAATTTTGTCATATGTGTTTTCTGCATCAATTGATATGATTATGTGATTTTTGTCTCTATTTAATTATGTTATGTATCACATTTATTGATTTGAGGATATTGTACCATCCTTGTATACCTGGAATAAATCCTACTTTGTCATGGTGTATGATCTTTCTAATGTAAAGCTGGATCCAATTTGCTAGAATTTTGTTGAGGATTTTAGCATCTATGTTCATCAAGGATATTGGCCTGTAGTTCTCTTTTTTTGTGGTGTCTTTATCTGGTTTTGGAATCAGGGTAATGCTGGTTTCATAGAAAGAGCTTGGATTTGTGCTTCCTCTTGAATTTTTTGGAGTAGACTTAGGAGGATAGGTTGTAGATCTTCTTTGAATGCTTAGTAGAACTCCCCCATAAAGCCATCTGGAACAGGGCTTTTGTTTGCTGGAAGACTTTTGACCACTGCTTAAATTTCTTTGGTGGTTATTGGCCTATTCGTGTTTTTATTTTTTTATTTTTTTATTTTTATTTTATTTTTTTATTTTTTTATTCTTCCTGGTTAAGTTTTAATAGCTTAATTTTTCTAAGAATAT